CATGGGAGACGGAGAGTGACATGATGGGTCGCTATCCGCATTTCTTTGTTGAGGTGTGATTCTGAGGACGGAATCATTCTAAGGTGGGGAGAATTGTAACGCCTGTGTTTCTGGGCTTGCCATTTTTAGCAATGTAATGGTCTAGGTTAACCTTTGTAACCCGTTTTGAAATAATAGAAGTGTATTATTTGAGTATTATGTGTTTTGTGCTTAATTGCTTAATTGCTTAATTATGTGGTTTGATTAATTAAGAATAAAAATAAGCATCAAAATTTAAGTGTAAAATAAACTCGATATCTTTAGATAATGTTGTAGTAGTTGAAACAAGGTTTTCGAAGATATAAAGAATGTCGAAATCCGAGTTATAACGAAGAAGTTATGACATATCGAAGTTTCGTGACAGAACCGGCACGACCCAGTGCGACCCAGCGCGATGTAAATAGTGAATTTAAGGTAGATAGATATCTATCATTAGTGATCTAAATGAGAATTGAAGATCTCATCGATAGTAGTGCAACGACGGAAACACGGACGGAATCGGAGTTCAGATGAAGGAGTTATGAATTTCGAACGGAGTTTTCCTGTCCCGGCCTACTAAAAATAATATATAAGTAATATACTTATAATATATTAAAAATAAAGTCAAAATTAGCCAATGGAGTCTAAACGAGAGTTGTAGATCATGATCTCACCTTCGCGGCGATATAAAGAACGTCGAAAACGGAGTTCGTATGCGAAAGTTATGAATTTCTGAAGTTCGGGGCGCGAAACCCCAAAACTGTCAGAGACCACGACGTGGCAAGCAGTGCCACGATGTGGCAAGTGTCCTGACACCTCCGGGAGGCCCCAGATGCAACCTGGGATGACGCATGCAGTGACGACCAAGCCCACGACGTGGAAAAAGGTTGCCACGACGTGGTAAGGGCCAAAATTGCCCTATAAATAGATTTGAAGGGCCAGCCGTTTAGGGTTGCTATTTTCTCTCTTCTCTCTCCCGTTTTGCATCGATTTGCATGCCAGAAGTACCCCGAAGCCTCGGTAATATTCCCGAGTCCCGAAGCAAGTCCCGAGATCCCGAAGATCCCGAGAAGTGCGGTTTCCGAGCCGAAGCTCTGCCCGCGAGAAGTTCGATTTTTGTAGAGATCTTCCAGATCTGCTGCGGATTACTACTTTTGCAAGCCGTAGTGCTGTCTGATCATCTTCTGATCAAGTGAGTGTATACTACCTTTCATAAACGCAATAATAATACAAGTATGGTTTGAGTGTATTAAGTATATTGTTGTTTATACGTGTGAGTGCGTTGTTACTTTCTCCTAACGTATAATTATGAAGTATTTTATACGAGATACGTGTTATGTGTATATTTTGTTGTTATGTGTGTGAATGTATATTCACTTTCTTCTATCTTACAGATCTGATTATTTCTATATGAAATACGTGTTATGTGTGTGTGCCTCATCTGTTATATGGAAAATGTATTGATCAAGCATGCTATACAGGTTTTGAAAATATGTATAAAAATGTATGTTTTTATCTACTAATATGTTGGGTAGAACATGGGTAGATAGTTGGTGTGTAATAAACAGATGAGAGGCCTCGTTGTTGTTTTGATCCAGTCATCTAGCGGAATTTAGATGACGACCACGGACTTTTCTAGACAGTCCAGTGGAACGCTAGCAGGCTCATAACCTGTAGGTGTTAATGAACTTGGGTGTTCATTCGCTGTATTCCATCCCCCTCATGGTTGCCTTATTTGACTTATATTGCTGAGGAACCCCGCAGCATGTGTTGTCACCCCGATGAAAATATTCT